ATTTATTTATTTATTATTTTTAAATGCCCGCTGCCAAATTCTTTTTTAAATATTTTTTTTTCTTTTTAGAGAGAGAGGAAGGGAGAAGAGAGAGAGAGAGAGAGACCACTCGGCTGATTCCTACACATCCCATACCTGGGGTCCAGCCCAAAATCCACATGCCTCTGACCAGGAATCGAACCTGCAACCTCTTGGTGCACCAGATGATGCCCATCAAACTAAGCCACACTGGCCAGGGCGGGACATAACTGCTTTTAAAAGTCCAACTGAGACTTTTGTGCTGGAACAGTTTTGTATCTTGACTATGGAGGTGGTCACATGGATCTACACATGATAAAGTTGCATAGAACTTTATCACATACACACATACACACAAATCATATATATAAACCTGGCAAAATCTGAAGAAGGTGGGTGAACTATATCAATGGCGATTTCCTGGTTCTGATAATGTATTATAGTTATGCAAGATGTTACCATTGGGGGAAACCAGATGAAGGGCATACAGGTTATATCTGTATTGTTTTTCTGTGTTGTAGCCACATGTGAGTTTACAATGATCTCAAAATAAAAATATATTTTTTTAAAGTCCAGGTGAGAGGCCCAGGTCTGACCTTGAGCCCTGAGGAATAAGCCTGGGAAGGCAGAGGAGCCCTGAGTCATTTGCAGATGGAGAAAAGTACTCTCAATGTAGCGCCCTTACCCCACGTCTTCATTCTGGGAGACCAAAGTCAAAGTGTGCTTGTGTGTGTGTTCATGGACAGGGGAAAGAAGAAACAATTTAAATAGTGAATTTTGTCCATAGAGATTAAAAGCCTTGAGGAATGAAAATTTTGTTGTTTGCATACATTAAAGCTTACTCTTTGTACTGTGCAGTTCTCGGATTTTAAAAAATGCAGAGAATCATGTATCCACTACCCCAGGACCTTACAAAACAGTCTGATCACCCTAAATATTTGCCTGAGCATCCCCTTTGTAGTCAAACATGCCCTCTGCACACAACCACTGATGATAAATTGAATTTTTAACTGTAAACTGAATTGTTAAAATATAGAGGCAAGACATTGCAAGCAGTTGGAACATCAAGAACAAAGGACTAGAAACTGTTTTTAAAAACCAATAACCCAAAGCCACCTAGCACTGTGCCTCAATGATTTGTGTAGAATGCAGTAGATGGTCTGTAAATGTTGGCTGGTTGGTTGGTTGGTTAGTTGGTTGAATCATGAACTGTGTGATCTTGACTTCTCTAAGCCCCAGTTTACTCATCTATAAAATGGGGGTGATCCAACTCAGGGTTTATTCATTCATTCAACAAATTCTTGAGTTCCTACTATGTGCCTGGCACAGTTCTAGGCACTAGGAGTATAGCAGTGAACAAAGCAGACAAGTATTCCTGCCCCTGTGTTGCTTATTTCTTCTTTATAAAGAAACTAGAGGCCTGATGCACGAAATTCATACAAGAGTAGGCCTTCCTTCCCCCGGCTGCCAGCACCAGCTTCCCTATTGCACCTGGGACCCGGGCTTCCCTCGCAGCCCCCAGTGTTGTCAGATCTAATTAGCATATTATGCTTTTATTATTGTAGATAATGAAGATTTTTAGAGGAAGATAAGTGCTGTGGAAAAATGGAGCAGGGTATGGAGATAGGAATGTGGTAGGGTGGTTAGAGCTCGATGATTGCTCATCAAGGCATTGGAGCAAGGCTGGGGAGGGATTTCATCAGTGTGGGGATCATTGCCTTTGAGGTCTGACTCAGTCTAGGATTCCTACTCCCGGGTGAGAAAGCAAATGGCACAGATATCCAGGTAGGACAGCTCCAAGCAGAGGTGGCCTCAAAGAGGAGCCAGGAGACCAGTGGGGCTGAACAGAGACATGAGGTCAGACGCCTAGCACCTTGTAGGCCATGGAGCTTTTATTCCAAGTGAACCAGAAAGTTATCTCAGAGAATTTTGAGCCGAGGAATTACATGATTTGACTTAGGTTGTTGTGATGGCTTTAAATTATTATATTAAATATTAACATGAATATTAACTATTTATAAAGGGCCTGGCACAGAGCCTAGAACATAGCTTGTGTGTCTCCTGTTCGAATAGTCACAATATGGGCATGCATTGATGCACAAGCAGGGGTGTGTGGGCCTGGGTAGGGAAGGCACTGACCTGTTCCAGTCGCTGGCGCCCTCTCCTGGAGGAGCCTGCACTAGCTGTGACAGCAAGAAGCCATCATACTGGCCAGGCCTGTCACCCAGGGCAGCTGTCCGCAAGGTGCTCATCTGTCCCCCAGAATGGGCCCCACAGTGCCCTGCGGCCTGGCGCCAGGCTGGGTGTGTGCTGCCAGTGTGCCCTGACTAGCAATCACAAGCCTATGGTGTCATGGAAAGAGATCTGGGCTCGGGAGGCCAAGGAACCTGGGGCCTGGTCCTCCTCTGCTACGGATATGGGCAGTTCACCCCACCTCTCTGGGCAGTGGGGAGCTTCCTCTTACTCATAATGATATACCACGTGCCCGGAACATGGCAAAGGCTCAGTAAATGTTGGTTGAATCAGTGAATGAAGTGGGGGCCATGGGCCTTTCTGGTAAATATTTAATTTGGAGCAGCGGTTTTCAACCTGCGGGTGGCGACCCCTTTGGGGGTCGAACGACCCTTTCACAGGGGTCACCTAAATACATCCTGCGTATCAGATATTTACATTACGATTCATAACAGAGCAAAATTACAGTTATGAAGTAGCAACGAAAATAATTTTATGGTTGGGGGTCACCACAACATGAGGAACTGTATTAAAGGGTCACGGCATTAGGAAGGTTGAGAACCACTGTCTAGAGAAAAGCAAATAAAAGTACCCAGTGGGTATTCATTCAACAAGTACTTAAATATTTATGAGCACCTTCTATGGACCAAGCACTCTTATGGGCACCAAGGATACAGTTAGTGAATAAAAACCTTGCCCTTGGGTAGCTGACATATTAGGTGTTGAACCAAAGGTCACAGATGTATTTGCATATGTGTCCGGGGCAAGCTCGTGGTGAGAGGAGGACAAGAAAGCAGTGAATGGGTGTGATGCATTGTCTCAAGGGGCTGGGAGGGTAGCCAGAGTGGACAGACAGGGTCAGAGAGTGCCCACTGCGGCCTCAGTTCCTGGCTTAGGGGTATATTTGCCTCCACAGTCCCTCCTACTCCTCCAGTTGGCCTGGAACTGGTTCCATGGCTCTAGTGGGAAGCTGTCAATCTTCTGTGAGCCCTCTTATTTCTCAGTGTTCAGAGTCTTGAAGGAGGAGATGCCAAGTGCCCCCAGCATGAGACCCAGATCTTCTTTGGTTTATTTTTGTCCATTCTCTGGGAGCACCGCACCTGTCTCCCCAACCCCTAACTTCCTTGGGTCGCTGTCCAGTTCCCAAGGAGGCAGACAAAGCCGAGGGCTCAGAACCAGAATTGCTAGTCCCAGGAGGACTCTGCTCAGAGAATGCATCCCTACTGTGGGACACAGGGTGGGTCTGGGTCTCTTCTCTTCTCTGAGGACAAGTGTGTGGTCATCACAGGACACAGATGTGTGCTGAGGAGGATGTGTGCAGAGCTGTCCCAGCTGGAAAGGGCCACCATGGAGGCAGGGAGTTCTCTGACACAGAGACTTCCAAGCAGAGCTCGGTGATTGCTCATCAAGGCATTGGAGCAAGGCTGGGATTTCATCAGTGTGGGGATCATTGCCTTTGAGGTCTGACTCTGAGGATTCCTACTCTCCCTCCACCATGGTGACTAATCCAAATCTAAGCTTTTCTTTGGAGAATGGCTGCCTCTCAGACCTTCCCTGACCTATGTGGCCCTTTGTGCTTTGATGGGTACATGAATGCACATAACTCATTCAAGGGAAAGAAGGAACCTAGAGGCTCCACCGGGGCCCAATCTCCCCCAGGTGTTTCTCTCACAGAGACTAGCTTAGATTTCAGGGTCCCCAGCAGGCTCAAGGATAAGAACCCTCACCAATCCCTCCTCTATTCCAGCATGAAGACCCTAGAAATGCCATTTCTAATTTCACTTGAAGCCCTGCTACAGGTTGATAGGGGTAATTCTGGGGCCTGCAGGGTTCACCCCATTGGTGCACTGGGGGAAAGCAGTGACCATGAGTTGATAGTGGACAGCGGCCGAGGGTGGCGACCAGGTTGCAGCCCCAGATGTTCCTAGCGCAAAGGTGAAGAAACACCAAGAAGCCCTGTGTACTGGAAGGTTGCTGGTTCAATTCCAATCAGGGGACATACGCAGGTTGCGAGTTCCATCCCTGGTTGGGGAGAGTAAGAAAGGCAGCCGATCAATGTTTCTCTCTCACGTTGATGTTAATCTCTCTCCCTCTCCCTTCCTTCCTCTTTCTAGCATGTCCTCAGGTGAAGATTTAAAAAAAAAAAAAAGCCTTAGCTGGTTTGGCTTAGTAGATAGAACGTCTGCCTGCGGACTGAAGGTTCCCGGGTTCGATTCCAGTCAAGGGCACATGCCTGGGTTTCAGGCTCAATCCCCAGGAGGGGGTGTGCGGGAGGCAGCCGATCAGTGATTCTCTCTCATCATTGATGTTTCTGTCTCTTTCTCCCTCTCCCTGCCTCTATGAAATCAATAAAAATATTTTTTAAAAAGGGGGAAAGGGGCCTTCATAGAGGGAGGGACTACACAGCCCAGAGGGGAAGGAGCAAGGTGTGAGGGAGGAGTGCATCCAAAGAAGGGAAAAAGACACCAGAAAGGCTTTTGGAAGTTTCTGGAAAAAAACGCTTAGGAACATCAGATTAGGCAGTTTAAGACTAAAACCCCATTAGGTTTATTTCCCCTACAGACCATCTGAAGTCATTGTTTGTGATTTCTACCCTCTTCCCATCTCTAAAGGCTAATCTCTCCATCTGTGAGGAGTGTCAGGAAGGCTGTGACCCACATGGATCCATCAAGCTTCCTAAATCATTGATCCACCTGGAATTTATTTTTTGGAAGGAATGAAGAGTGACAGCCTTCACCCTGTCCCCTGTGGCTACCCAATTGCCCCTGCACTACCCATCAGTGTAAATGTTTTATTCCACAATTTCCTAATGTTCTTTTCATATGACCTATCTTCCTCTCCCATCTTCCCAAATTCTCCCCAAATTTCCCTTTAGTGTTTTAATTGAGGTAGCACTGCATTAAAATGATAAGTTAATGGAGGATGAATGGACAGCTTTAGAGTATTGGGTCTTCTTCTCCAAGAACAAGATAAAGCTTTTCATTTTCCTTAACATGGTTGTTTTTCCTGAATTGGCTCTTGTGCATAAAGGTGCTCAGGCAGGTGTCATGGAAAGGTGTGAGTTTCTTTGGGGAAGGAACCGGGGAGGAGCCCTACTTCAGAGCCAGTCTGTGGGGAACCGTGGTGTCCCTGGGCCCTGATGATCTGAAGGGGGTAGGAGGCCCAAGGGAGGCAGTCCCAGAATTGGGCCCTAATAGGAGGGATTTGTGGTTCCCCAACAAATGTTCCGTCCAGCTTCCGCCCCCCCTATGTCACACACAAACAACAAGGCAGGGAGGCTCTGAGAGCAGAAGAGGTGACAGGCCCTGGGGGACAGTCTGGCTGGGCAGGAAGGCAGCACAGTCCACCAGGGCCCGGGGGCTCCTAGAGGAGACCTGGCAGTCAAAACAACAGGGGACGTATTAGGCTTGTGCTTCTCTTTTTATTGTTTCTGTCCAGCCCCTGCAGTGGGGGAGGGGCAGGCACAGGGAGGTGGGCGCCCTGCCACCTTGCCTGAGACCGCTCTGCCTCTGTCCTCTCCTTTCCTCTCAGCATCTCGCCCACCCTCACTCCTTCTGAATCTCCTGCTCCCACATCTGGCACCTTCGGGGGTTCCCTCTTGCAGCCCCTGCTTGCTAAGCCTACCCTGGGAACATAAGGGACTACGGAGCTAATTTAGTGCCCCCCAGTCTCCACAGGGACCAATCCCCCAGTTGCCTGCCCGGCTTACTGAGGAGGCCCTTTCTTCCTCTGACCTGGGCTGGGGAGTGGAGAGGTCCACCCCATGGGTCCCAACACCCTGCTGGGGTGAGGGGCCCTCTCCCAAGCCAGAGGCTAGAGCCTGAGGTCACAGAGGTGGGAGGGGCAGGGTCACTGCTCTGCCTTGGTTCCATTCAGGCCCTGCCCAGCACACCCATGGCAGCCAAGAGCCAGGCTCGCTCACGTCCAACATCCAGGACTCACATTGCTGGGGGCTCCCTGTGCCGGGCAGGGATGGGCCATGTCCCTTGTGGGGACCATGAGGGGGGTTGGTGCGCAAGGGTCAGAGGCTGTGAGGGGAGACGGTGGCGGGGTGTGGTGCCCTTCGATGGAAGGAGGCGGGCTTCGGGAGGCAGTGAGGACAGGGGCAAGGACGGTCTCTGGTGGCAGAGGGGTCTCTGGCTTTAGAGCACCTCGTGCTGCTGCTGTGTGGCCTCGCTGACGACCTGGGGAGGAAGAGAAACACAGTCCGATCCAGTGCTGGCAGGAGAATGGAGCCCAGGCCAGCCGCCCAGCCCCCATTCCAGAACTGCAGGAACCCCTCTCCCCGCAGACAGGGACTCAAACAAGCACAGCTGGCAGGAAGCACCTGGCTACAGCTCCCCAGACACACCCCAGGGCCCCACCAGTGAGGGGACCAGGCAGACTCACCTCCCCGTCTCGAGTCTCAATGGTCTTGATCATCACTGTCTTCTTGGTATGGACTTCGGAACCCCTTTGTTCAGGGCTTGTTTCTGTAACAGATCCATCCACATGCTCAGCCTGACCGAGTTCAGACCAGGCTGTTCCAGGGGCTGGGAGTCCACCCCTGGTCCACAGGGCAGAGAGAAGACTCTCAC